ACTTGGCTGCTAATCAAAAAGTTAGAAGTTCAAGGCTTGGTGATCTACTTTAAAAAAAAAAAAAAGCTCTGGAAAACCCTTTGGCTTGCAAGCTATGTCAGGAAACCAGGTGTGTAGGGATTGTGGAGATGCCAATGTGCTCTGTAACTTTCCCCCCCAAATCACTACAAGGTCAAGAGGCAAGACAAGACAAGCTCCCAGGCAGCACAGCACTACTGTGACCTGCATGGGGCCAGCAGGAGCTGGTATCCACCCTGGAGCAACCAGCTGGCCTCTCATGCACACCTCATCCCAGGCTGTCCCCACCCCTCTTTGCAGGCTTGCACCTCCAGCTCCCCCCAGGTCCTTCTTCCTTCCATGGAATTGTATTTGGGGTGAAAATAGACACAGCAAAGCCGGCTCCCACGCCACGCGCTCCGACATAATGCCCTGTGACCTTGGTTCCATTGGGCACACTGCGCCAACATGACCCTTCTTTCTGTGCTTCACGTTTCCTTCCACGGACTTACTCTCCCCAGACCCAACCTTCCCATCGAGGCTTTCACTCAAGGTCTTCCTGGGTCTTCGAAAGCCCGGGGACACACAGAGCGAAGGCAGGCTGGGGTTCTAGGCTGCCAAGATGCGCTCCTGCCACCACCACCCCCCACCCCCACCCCGGCAGGAGGTAGGCCCCTGACTGCCAGCACCCATTCCCCTCAGCCTGTCCCAGGAGCCACAGAGCCCAGCTGAACGGGGCCTTGGGGCTTGGGAAGCATGGCAGTGACCAGGCCTGACCTTTCTAGTTTCCTGGTTCCAGAGAGTCTGTGGCTACCTTCCCACCTGGACCCCACCCAAGGCTACTGCGAGTCAGCTTGTTGACCGAAACCTCACTGGGTGAAGAGCGCTGGCCCACACAGAGGCCTGGGAAGATGTCGCTCAGATAGGCACTCTGCTTCCTCAGATGGGGGATAAGCGCTCAGGAAGGCGGGGAGAACCACCCAGCACAGGTTCCACTGCTTGCTTCTGTAAGGGTGCCCATGCGAAGGGCTCCCCTCTCAGCACCCACGCACCAAGCTGCCTTTCTGTGCTCTGTGGTGTCTGTGTGGGCAACCCACTGGACAGATTCCTCGGCTTCCGGAAACATGTATTTATTTTTAAAGAAAATGATGACAAAATAATAATTTATAAATTATCAAGGGTTCATGAAAGAGGGGGGAACAAGGAGGGAGGGGGGAAAATGAGGAGCTGATGCCAAGGGCTTAAGTGGAGAGCAAATGTTTTGAGAATGTTGATGTACAAATGTGCTTTACACAGTTGATGGATGCATGGTTGTGATAAAAGTTGTATGAGCCCCCAGTAAAATGATTTGAAAAAATAAAATGAAAATGACCCCACAGCATTTATTCGGATCTGGTGATACTATCAGAGTGATGGAAACAATATGACCACACGGTTTAGAACTATGTGAGAACATCTAAAAAAAGCAGGTGGGAGGAAAATAAAAGCAAAACAAAACAAAACAAAACAAAAACCAACCCCCAAACTTGCCTTCAACAACTTCTTACCTCCTTGATCCTTTCTAGCTGGAGCCACTGTGCCAACTCAGCTCACTGCCAGAGTTCCAGCTGACTCCTAATGACCCTATAGGACGAGGAAGAACTATGCCTGTAGGTTTCTGAGACTAAGTCTTTATGGAAGTAGGAAGCCCCGAAGAGAGGCTGGTGGTTTCGAACTGATGACCTTAACAGTTAGCAGCCCAACACGTACGCACTACACCACCCGGCATCCTGGAAACACTGTGTGGCAGAGTCGTATCAGCTCCATTTAGCATGCTCGGTCCGCGTTGTTTTCTTGACCTGGCTTTAGACTGCCTCTCTTCTGCACCATCTAATAATCCAAGGGTCTGATATCCAACCGAACTATCATCCGGTCATCTATCCACACTTGCTTAGAGAGCTGCACCTGAATCCGGGATCTATTTCGCACGTGTCTGAAGATGAGGTTGATGAGCTCCACCATTACCATTTGCACTTTCTGGCCCTGGTCACAGTGCCAGGGTGGACGCGGCCCAAGACCACACTCAGTCACACACTAACTAGCTCAGAAAGCAACCTTTTAAAACATTACAGAAAAATGCTACAGATACAAAAAATAGCTTCATCTGTCTACTACCCAGTTTCAACAATTAACCATTCAAGGCCAACGCTATTCCTTTTCGCTTTACACCAACACACTCTCCCATAATTTCCAAGCAAATCTTGGGTAGTAGTTTCATTTTAGCTGTAAATATTACAATATGGATATCTAAACAACAGCCCTTCCCTGTGTTTTACATATCATTTGGGTCAGGTTGATTGAGGCATAACTTACATGCAGTCAAGTGGACGCCTTGCAGGTACAGTGCTGGCTCTTTAGAAGCGTCGTGTAGCCATCAAAACATAGAATCAAGACAGACCAGTTCTATCACTGCCCATCCCCGGCCCCCCTGAAAATTCTCTTGAGCCTCTTTGCGGTCAACCCTTTCACCCACCCTCAGGCAGCACCCACTGACCTGTGTTCTAGTCCTATAGTTTCATGTCGTCTAGATGTCATAAGCATGTGTGTGATGGAAAAATATATAACACAGCACTTACTAGTTCAACCATCTTTACACGTCTAAGGAAGTGACATCATACTCGCTGTGCTTGTGCACCCATGACCACTCTCCACTTTTAAATTTTTCATCACCCTTAACAGAAACTCAGGGTCCCTGAGGCAGTAGCTTCCCCCTTCCATCCCTAGTAACCAACCACTAGTGAACTTTGGCCTCTATGTGTCTCCCTATTCTAGCTACTGCCTCCAAGTGGAATCATACAGTCTTCGTCCTTTTGCGTCTGGCCTGTTTCACTCTGCATGATGTTTTCAAGATTCATGTTGCAGCGTGTTCCAGAACATTTCCATGTAGGACCGAAGGACATTCCATTGTGTGTGTGTGTGTGTGTGTGTGTGTGTGTGTTATTATGTTTCTTCATTCATCTGTTCATGGACATTGAGGCTGTTTACACATCTGGCTATTGTGATTGGTGCTACAATAAACATGGAGCACGGTCCCTGACTGAGTCTTTCCCACAAATGCCAAGGACTGGAACTGCCCAGTCAGTGGACCTGCGTGCATCTCCTAAGTAACAAGCCTCCGTTCCTTCTGAACTCACACTGCTGCTCCTCCGGGGAAAGCAACAACTCCCCTAAACCTTAAAACCCCGAGCCCAATGGCATTGAGACCATACCGTCTGAAAACAACCCTATGTTGGGTTTCCCAGGCTCTAAGTCTTTACAGGAGTTGACAGCCTCATCTTTCTCCCTGGAAGCGATGGGTGGGTTTGAAATGCTGACCCCGTGGCCACCAGGGCTCCTTGCACCTCATGTAACAAGACCCTATTTATCTAGTAAATCTCAGCTCTGAGGCTACCTCTTTTGGGCCACTCTCACCCCTCTCAGGCCGACTTGGGCTTCCAGCATCTAGGGATAGGCCTCCTGTGATAATTAGGTTTATTGTGCCAACGGGGCCTCCATAGGAACCTGTGGGCAGATTTTAATCAGGTCGTAGCTTGATTAGAGGTAGACCAAGGTAAAGACTTTCTGCTGCGGCATCCCCTCTCTCTTCCTTCCTGGTGATTGGACCAGCTTGACGCTGCTTGAGCTAGCTACCTATCGGCCAATCCAACCCATGGATCCTGTTGCTAGAGCTTGAGGTTCCTTCAAGGTCTGCTTCGACACACTGTTGTTGCATGCATCCCTCGAGTTCCAGATTCCATGGGGGACCTGCCTTGCTAAACTCCCTCACTACTGACTGTTGCTACCCCACCCTGCTGTCT